AAAAGCATAGTCAGTTTCCCACTGCTAAATAACCAATTGCAAATAAAAACTTAACGGCTTAAATAACACAGATTTATTGTCTTACAACTCCAGAGGTTGGATGTCCCTAATAAGTCTTACTGGGTTGAAATCAAGTTTTCAACAGGGCTGCATACCTTCTAGAGGCTCTATGGGAGAATTTATTTCCTTGCCTTTTCCAGCTTCTAGAGATAGCCTGCATTCCTTGGGTCGTGGTCCCAGCCCTCCCCTTTCAAAGCCAGCAGGGTAGCATCTTCAAATCTTTCTTCTCTCTGACCTCTGCTTCTGTCCTCACATCTCCTTCTCTATGACTCTTCTGCCTTCCTCTTAAAAGGAAGACTTGTGGTTACATCTGGCCCACCTGGGTAATCCCAGGTACTTTCCACAGAGAAAACCAGCTGATTAGCTGCAACCTTAATTCTCCCTCACCATATAATGTATTCAAAGGTTTTGTGGATTGGGATGTGGCAATCTTCGGGGAGCCATTGTTCTGCCCTCCGCACATATTGTGTGTTCAGGGATTTGCAAGTGGTTTGGGAATGCAGAGTAGTGTGCTTATGGTGTAATGGGGAAAGAATGGGCTAAATAGGCAAGAGCTGTAAAAGGTCCTTGTCAACTATGCAGAGTTTGAACCTTGTGGTGGAAAGCAATAGGAAACCATTTGTTAGATCAGAAATACGTAGGATTCTGAGACATCACTCATCCTGGGTCTAGGAAAACAAATAAAAGGGTATTGTGAAAATCTGTACAAAAGATTTGCAGGGGTGAATTATATGATACCTGTCTATGAATGAAGAGTTTAGCAGTAAAAGGGGCCAGGAGGAAGCAGACAAGCCTCTAACTTCAAGTCCAGGTATGTAGGATGAGAAAGTGGGTTCCCAAATTGTGTCAGAAGAAAGCTGATAAAGTCTTCAGTTTCAGCAGGTCCAAAATGGCAACTCAAGTAAGCAGGACAAGTAGTGAGTCTTTTCATAACAGAGGATCACTTTTATCTCTTATGGGTTCCACATTTGGAAGAACATTGGGGACAGAATAGTATTTCTTCATAAATAATTACTAAATTTCCCCAGTTGTTTTGCCAAAACTTGAAATTGCCAGTCACAGCTTCTGGTCAGATTTCTGAGACTATCATTGTGAGCTGTGTGAATTCATCTAATCCCCACCCCACCACCTCAGTGTCTGGAAATTCCACCCCACGCCCCCTACTTTTGTGTTTTTTAAACTATGTGCTGCTTTAAACTAGGTATATATGCATTTTCTTCTGGGCTTTTCAAATGATTGAAATAGATTTGAGGACGTAGCAGGAGTAAGGGCCTGAGAGGCCCCACTGAATTCACCTCCACTCTCTGTGGAATTCTCAAGTCCCCAGAAACTTCTAGGTCCCTTGCCTTGGTTAATCTTTTCTTTCTGCTTGAGTCTGCTCCCCAGACTGGAAATGAATATGAGATTAGTAGATTTGTATTTGAATCCTTTTCAATAGTGAGATTGATTTAAACTCTCCTTTTTGAGCTATTATAGATTTTTATAAATAGCAAAATTCATAAAGGTGGACTGTGTAGAATTTGCTTCATTAACAAATTTATAAGAATTATGAAAAAGGCAGGGATTTTAAAGATTTTGTTTTGCAATAAAAGGGCAGAATGTTTTTGGAATTTTCTTTTTCAGATTCTTGTACTGGTTAAATAATATATATTAATAATGATAACATATATATCTATACATATGTGTCATTTAGCAACCATGAAAGATACACATATATATAAACATGGGCACACAAATAAAATGATATAGAAAGATAAGTTATTAAATGAAAAGCAACTTGTAGAACTACATATATCATGATTGCATTTGCATAAAAATTGGATATACACTTGTATGTGCATAAAAGTCTTCAGAAGAATATAAAATAAAACATTAAAAATGACTACCAGGGCTAAATCCAAGTGGAGTATTAGGGCCAAGTAGCCTGAAAATTCTGATTTTTACCTCATAGTTGTCTATACATTTTGATATTATTTAACCAGTACTTTCATGATTGAAAAAATAGTTTAATATATTTATTCCCCATAGAGAATTAAAAAATGACCTTGTAAATATTTTAATACTAGCTTTTCCAACTTTTATAAAATTCTACAAATGTACTTAGTATATCCTGTCTTTCAATAAGAAAAGAGTAGTAAGAAATGTTAATTCAATGTTAGAGTGGAAAATTATGCTCCTGTGTACAAGTTCACATTTTAAAGGATCCTTGGTGTGATGAAATTCAGTTTCTTTTTTAACTGGTAGAATATGAAAACTGTGGTAGCATTTATCCCAATATATAGTGAAATAACTATTGCCCCTGCTTAGTATTTTTTTAAATGTGTTTTCCTTTTTCTTATAAAAAAAGAAAAATTTAGAAAATGTGCTCAAGTAACAAAAAGAAATCAAAATCAAATATAATCCTCCTACCCCCAAATTGCCACTATTAAATATTTGGTACCCAGAATTAGAATTGTTTCTGTCTCTGTTCAAGCTCTGTTTCCTTTACCAAATTGTTGTACTCTTTTAGAGGATGAATCCTACAAACTTCTTGTACAGGTTATGCTTAAATAAAAATTATGTTTATTTTGTTTTGGTTGCTCTGAATGAGAACTTAACCCATTATGTTAGAATTGATTATGAGATGTTTATTATGTAACTGAGCACTTTATGTAACTGTTTTTATTAGCTCTAATAGTTTGTCTTTTGGTTCCATTTATTTTTCCAGAACAATAATTTTACCCTATGCTAACAACAGTGCATAGTGTTTCAAAATGGAAGTAAATGTGCCATTGTGCTTAGAATTTGAAAGAGAATATGGCAGGTTGGAAAAATACTGTGTAAGCGGGACGTTGGGCATAGTTGTTTAACTAATGCTTAAAATGTCATGAGATCTTTCATTTGAAAAAGGCTATAATTTGATGCTACATCCAAGATATTTCTTCAGATTCAGTATTGTTCTCACACTGTGTGGTCTAGCAGAATCCTCATCGTCTTTTAAAATCTACCCTCATGAGGTAATTGGCTAATCTATATACATCTACACAATTAAGCAATTTAGAATTAACAAACTATCCATATGTTGTGCAATTTTAAGCCTAAGTAAACTGACATTTTCTGTTTTTATTTATTTTTTTTAATTTTTTGGAGGAAGGTAATTAGGTTTATTTACTTATTGTTTTTTAATGGGGATTGAACCCAGGAACTCAGGCATGCTAAGCACGCACTCTACCACTGAGCTATACCCACCTCCTCAACATTTTCTTCTTTGGTGTACTAAAAGAGATTTTCTTAGGAAGGAGAAGAATACAAACTTTGATACCGTAAAAAGATTGCCTTGTTACATAAATGATCTCTTTGCTATTTTTTCTCATCTCTAGAGAAGTCTTGATTGTTTACCTACCCCAAAGAGACTAGTTGAGGTTATGAATTTTTTAAAGTTTAGATTCTCTATCATATATGTTAAAATTAACTTTATATTAAAAGTTTTTTCAGCCTTATTCACCTGAAAAGGCTTCTGGGGACCTGAGGTTTCCAGTTTCTGGAGGGATCAGGTAGAGAGAAAAGATAAATGTTTCAACTCTATTTATGAAGGTATAGTTTACCAAACTACTATAAATCATAATTAGCTTGAGGGAAAGGGTTTCCTTATGTCTGGAACATACAAATAAAAAACCCAGTAATATTTCAGACAAAAAAACTAAAAAAAATTATAACCATGTTCCATGTTCCATCTTCTGAGTCCTAATAGGTGACAAATCCTTGATCTTAATCTTCTGTTAATAGTTTCATGAAGTTGTCAGGATTTCCATTAGACTTCTTTAATTTCCTACCCAGTTCAGTGGTATGATCTAAAACTTATGACACCTGTACTTGTCAAAAAGTCCTTTCTATGTGTCTTGAAGCATTTTTTGCAAAAGCATTGGATCAAAACAATAACTGTCTATAAATGACAAAAGATTTAAAAAGTCATGGTTAGGGGGTGGAGGGATAAATTGGGAGTTCAGGATTTACAGCTACTAACTACTGTATGTAAGATAGATTAAACAATACGGTCTAACTATATACCACAGGGAACTATACTCAATTCCTTGTAATAGCCTATAATGAAGAAGAATATGAAAAGGAATGTATAACTGAATCACTGTACTGTACACTAGAAATTAACACAACATTGTAAACTGACTATTCAATTTAAAAGAAAAGGGATAATTAAAAATCTGATTACAATGCAATTGACAAACTTGGTTATTGCTATGGCATACATTTTAAGATAATTACTAGAATTGTAACTGATAACATTTTTGCAGGATATATTCAACTTTTAGAAATTTCATATAATTTGTAGAACATTTATATTAATAACATTTCCCATACAATATAACCTAGGAAGATTTATTGCCACTCATTTGACAATGCTTCCCATATCATTTAACATACTGAATAGGTGTAATTAGTTTAATACTTCTGTCTCTGAGATATCTCAGGAGCCTTTAGAAAACCTCAAAGTTAGCTAGCAGTCAAACACACTTCAATTAGAATTTGAAATCTTTGGGAAATTTGTCAAAAATACCAAAAATGTTTTAAAACACTTGGTCAAATAGGATCAGAGGTCACAGTGGAACAAAACTTACACACTTAACCAAAGTGACAATAAAAGATTTCAAAAGAAAATACAGAAAGTTATAATATATTACTTACAAGGTAAAAAAACCCTTTATAATTGGTTATCACAAGAGAGGAGGACTAAGAGGTAAGAGATGGAAGAAGAGACCAAGACCAGGAAAAAACTAACTGAAGGAGGCTTCTACAAGCAAGGAGAAACACATTTTAATAAAATACGAAGAATTATGGCACCTAGACCTGGGCTTTATTTTAAAAACCACTACAATGAACATATCTTTAAAACAGTTTTAAGGATAACATTATGAAATTTTAGCTGTCTTTTGTTTCTTTGATAGATACGGAAAACATGAATAAAACAGACCGACCCTTCATGACAATTCAGAGGAATGACAGCTCAGGTATTTTTCTAATTCTAAGCCTGTTTTATGATTTATCGTGGATTATGCATGATATAAAGTTGAAATGTTGATTTTCAAAGTTTTAATAATAGAAGGTTCATCTTTTGGTCACATTGAAGATTTCTCCAGTTCCTTTACAATGGTCAGGACAATCACTCTTTCCTTCATTGAGCTTGTCCTAAAATTGTTTGGAACCTTCTTAAAGTCATGTGGCCCATGATATACTTGCTAAATCTCAAGTGCTTTACAGGGCACAGGTTAATTTTTCATGGAGGCAAAAGTACATTTTTTGCTTGTCGCACTTGGGTTATTGTATTTCATGCTTCTTGGCTTTATAGTATCCTCTATCTCTATTTTATTTTGTCAAAATAGTTAATATCATGTTACTTTATCAAAATAGTTCATATCAAGTTAATATCATGTTAAGGACATTTTATATATTTGGATGGAGAATGCCTACCCAAACATTTTATATCATTTTAATGTTATTTGGCCTATTAAATTTTTTAGCTTTAAGTCTCAGCCTTTTAAAAAATTTATTTGAAAACTATTTCAATTTTTCTAAGTTAAAAATGTAACTATGATTTTAAAAATTCTATTTATTTCTCTTGACTTATAATAATGTGATACTTAAATATTCACAGTTGATGACTAACACTTTTTAAATAAAAAGAATGATCACACTTTGTATCTTGATAATATATTTTCTAAAATTCTCAATATACTAACTTAAAATAGAAGTATTCCTTTTATGCCCTTTTAGAAGTAATTTTTGCAAGAATATAGTGATAATATTTTTTAAATTTCCAGAGATAGAGGTTCAAATATACTATGAATGTCATAATATATTACTTCTCATGTTTGTTTAAAAATCTTTAAAAATAAGACAGGCAGTCAATATGTTGCCATAACTCTATTTTGACTTCCAATAACACAATACTGTTTCTTCATCATTTTCTGTTTTTAATGAAAAACAGATAATCTGGTATTCCATATGAAAAACGGAATAAGAAGCATCAAGTATAAACCAGTAGATTATCAACAATTGTATGCATTAACTGAAGCAAAAAAATTAGCTTCTGCCTCTACAGAGCTAAAGGTTAGTAGCTCTGTGTGTGTGTGTGTGTGTGTTTGTGTATGTGTTTTCTGGGAAATTTTATGGGAAAATCACTTACATAATTATCATAATAAAACTATTTTCATATTTCTGACTTCTATGCTGATCCATTGTATATACACCATCTATACACACATAGACATATAACAAATATTTATTATGTGCCTTGAAGATACAATGGTGAACAAACTATAGCCCTTACTCTCATGGGGTGTACCGTTTGCAGGAGATGGGGAGGGAAGTCAGTGTTTATCAAATAAGCCATGAAATACAATTATATTAAGTATAAGCTCCAATTTAAAAATAGTGTCTCATGTACAATAACAGGACTTGATCCTAATTGGGTGGGAAGCTTTTTCTGACAAAGTGACATTGGAATTGGGATCCCAAGGCCAATAAGAATTAGCCAAAGAAAAACAGGAGTGATGAGTACTCTAAATAGAAAAAGATGTATACCTTATCCCGTCCTGATTTTTGCATATTTAGATTTTTTCCAATCTTGTAATATTGGAAATCATGCTTCCATAAATATATTTATGCATAGACACCTTTTGCAAATAAATTCTCATGATTGGGATGTCTGGGCTAAAAGATATAAATGTTTTTTAGATCTTTCTTAAAGTATCATTGTGATAAAAATATCACCACAAACATTTTGTCTACACCCTTTCCAGCACTGGAATATGTACAGTTGACTCTTGAACAATGTTGGGGGTTAGAGTGCAGACCATCTGCTGGAAGAAAATCTGTGTATAACTTACAGTCAGCCCTCCTAATTGGCCCTCTGAACCCGAGGTTCCTCCATACCTGCGGTTCTGCAACCTCAGATTCAACCAACTGTGTATCATGCAGTACCATAGTATTTAGTGAAAAAAAATGCATGTATTAAGTGGACCCATGCAGTTCAAACCCGTGTGTTCAAGAGTCCACTGTGTGTATATATTCATATATGTATATTGCTAATATTGTCTCTCTCTATATATCTTTTTGTTCAGCTGTCTGTCTTTCTGTCCATCCATCTATGCATCTATCCAAATGCATATTTTGGATGAGTGTGGAATCACTGAATGTTAAAATTAGTATTTGGTCAAAGTGAATTTCTCTTTGATGATAGAATTGCTATCAAAGAATAAACATTTAAGATTTTAAATTACTAATGTGGTTTTTAAAGTTTGACATTAAATGCAGGAATGATAATTTCTCAGCACTGTCAGCTACTATATTGCTTCTCCGGTCACTGTGTGATACATTTGTGAGGTTAAACAGATGATCATTCTCAACTGACATTTTAAATAACATCAATAACCTTTTTGTTCATGGAGTATAATTCATGAAGAAGCTTTTTCATTGTATATTTTCTGGAAATAACTTGGTACCTGGGATTCATAGCATGGCAAATCTCAAAAAATGTCTAGCATTCAACTACTGAAAATGGTTTACAGTCTGTAGCAATCATTTTGACAAGCTTTTTGCTTCCATTTTTAGTCTCCATAGGCTCATAATAATAAAGGATTGTACTTTAAAAGCATTTTTGTAGTATCTGTTGTTTTGAATTTCAGTCAGTGAGAACAAAACGTGTCCTGGATACCTCATCATTTTCTTTCAATGTCTTTTCTTTATAAAATTTTCATTTTTTACTGTATCTGGATTAAGGAAGATGTTTTGGGAATGTTGCTTTCATGAATTTTGGAGGCTTCCTTTCTCAGTTAATTTATGTATATTTTATTTATTTATTTATTTTGAATGGAGGTGCTGGGGATTGAATCCAGGACTTTGTGCATGCTAGGCATGCACTATACCACTGAGCTACACCCCCCCTCATTTAATTTAAAGATAGTAAGTTGACATTTCACTTTTAAATTATTCTTGTAAGATACGAACAATTCTCAAATAGGACTTTTTCTTGAAAGACTCATGGCTTAAATGGAATTAGATAACTGAAAATTAAATATTCTTATAGTTCATTTTGTTTAATATTAGGAATTCTAATATATCAAACAGCCTATACCAACTAGAATTGTGATAATATTGTCTCTATTATCCTTTCTTATATTACTGTTTACTTTTTATAAAATACGTGCTGGCTAAAAATAGTATTTTAGTCTTCTTAATGTTATATAGTTAACACATTCTCTCTTAATATTGTATTAATTATCAATCAATTCCCTATTTATTTTACTAACTTAATGTGCTCATTTTTTGCACATGAAATTAACAGCTTTAACAGTCATTGTTAATTATTATAGCACAAATTGTGGCAATATTAAATGTAAACATAGCTAAGCTGAATGATAGAATGTTAACATTTAAAGCACATAAGATTTTTGCTTCAAATTATATCTAGAATACATAGCTCTATTTGAAAAGAAATTCACAAGTATTTTTAATTAACAATACATTCAGAAGACTTGTCTGATTTTTATTACTGGTATTGTTATACTGATTAAATGTGATGTCACCTGTATAATTGCTGTGTTATTGATCACGCACAAGTTCTGGGATGTCAGATAAAATAACTGATGTGAGCATTGAATGATCTAGTCCTTCAGAGGCTAAGATTGAACCTGAAGCCAGATAGTAGATTCGAACTGAAAACTGAGACCAATTTTTGGTACATTATATGTTAACTGTTCATTACCAATTAAAGTATAAAAGAGATCTTTACAATTATTTTTATTTGAATTTCTTTACTTAGCAAGAATGATTATTTCTTCTTGTCCAACTCAAGTATTCCATGTGCTAATTCTTGTTTTAAAATGTTATATTATGGAAAATTGCAAGAATATGCAAAATTAGAGTGATGGTATCATTAATCTCCATGTAACATTATCCAGTTTTAACTATGAACAACTCTTGGCCATTGTTTCCTCTGTACTCCCACCTACAATTTCCTTCTGCACCAGATTATTTGGAAGCAAATCTCAGACATCATAATATTCACCATAAATATTTCAGCAAGCATCTCTAAAACACTAGGGCTACAAAACCCCGAACCCTATAATGCCATTACTATCAAAATGTTAATAACTTCTTAATTATCAGTCATTGTTAAATTTCTCTGATTGTCTCCAAAGTTTTTCTTACAATTTATTCAAATTGGTATCTAAATAATATTCATATACTACAATTGATTTTTATTTTTTAGGTTTCCTCCTCCATCCTCTTATATTCTTATAATTTGTTTTTTGAATTGTAGTATTTGTCCTTTACAGTTTCTTACAGTTTGGATTTTGCTGATGACATCCTGGTGATGTCATTTAACGTGTTTTTCTGTTTCTTGTATTTCCAGTAAATTGGTAGTTATATCCAGAGACTTGATAAGATTCAAGTTCAACTTATTTTGGCAAGAACACTTACTGAAGGAATTCGTGTGCTTGTCTTTTTCTAGTACAAATAGTGCTGCAGTGAATAGCTTTGTTCATTTATCTTTTTATACTTTCACCAATATAGTTTTCAGATAGATTTCATTTTGTTTATTTGTTTTGTTTTGTTTTGGTGGAGGGGAGGTAATTAGGTATTTATTTATTCCTAATGGAGGTACCAGGGATTAAACCCACAACTTCATGCATGCTAAGCATACACTCTACCACTGAGCTATACCCTCCCCACTAGATAGATTTCTATAAGTAAGTTTGCTAGGTTGGGGGGGGGTGTTGCATCATTTTGTATTTCCACTAACAACATAAAAAAAGAGCGTATTTCCCTATAGCCTTACACAGTGTCTTGTTAAACATTTGAGTTTTTACCAACCTGATAGATGAGGAATTGCATCTTAGTGTAATTAAAAAAAACCTTTATGTTGACAGTTCTTTACTGAGGTATAACTTACACATAGTAAAGCACAGAAATCTTAAGTGTACATCTCAATAATTTTGACATGTGTACATGTAACCAACACTTAAATTGTCTATTAATTGTTGTTTATATCTAAAGATGGATTATCTGGTCCAAAAGGCTTTCATGGCATTTCAAGGCACCTCATAATAAATCATCATAATAAACCTCATAGGAAACCTCTAGTTTCTGATTCTTTTATGAACGTATTATTTTTGTTATTTGTAATTCATCAGTATTCTGCATAAATCGTCATCCACCTTAAATACTGCTTTCAAATGTCTATTGTTAAGTAAAATGAACTGGAGTCACCTAGAAATCACTCTATTGATAAAGATACAACTTTAAATCTTCTTGTTCTTTTAAGATTATTTTTCTTTATTTTTTTGTCTGAGGGTAGAAGGAGGGTCAGTGAGGGAATTAACAAAAAATCAGGATGTTCTGCAAAATATAGGAAGTACCTAGTGAGAAACAGTAGTTTTATTTTGACTTTCATTGTCTACTTAATTGGTCTTTCCCTGGGCCCAAAGGCAAAAACATTGATTTTCCTTTTTTAAGCTATAAAAATGTGTCTACATCTTTCACCAATATGTTTTAATTTTTTTGTACAATATAGACCAAATATATCAAAAAAATCTAATTTTAAAAGTTGTGCCTGCTGCAACAAACTTCAGAGACTGTCAATGGCAAATAGAATGAGTTTTGTGCATTCTTAAAGCAAACACTAGGGTGTCTTATTTTAGAAACACTTTGTATGTACTTTATTTTTTTTTAGTGAAACATAGATTGCTGAATGTTTTCCTGCAGTGTCCTGTTCTGATTTAAATGTACTTTTCTCCTAAATTTCATAATTGAAGCACTCTTAAGCAAAGATTTGACTTTGACTTTGTGCTTTTTTAAAGTAATGTTTAGGTTATTTTGTTTTCTTGCACCTCTAATTCTGAATCAGTAACCAGCACAGCAGAAAGATAAACTCAAGGTTAAAGTAATCAGTGAATGACAGCTAGAAATAGCATGCATTATAAAGAATCTTTTTAGGACTTCTGAAGTTTTTACATCTTCGGTATTGATCTGTTAAAGCTTTCAGGGTACTAAGTATTCTAGTAGCAGAGAAAATATAAAATATGCATATTTCATCAAGTTTCTGATTTGGGTTTAGCACTTTTACAGATGTTTAAAAGTATGAATGTGTAATACACAAGTTCAGCATACACATGAGTGTCCGTCAGAGTCTAACCAGGAGACAGATGCCACTTAGGGATTTAGAGCAGAAGGGTCTTTAGTACAGGAAATGGTTATACAGATGATGGAGCTGAGAAGCTAGAGGACTATGGACCAATACAGGAATTATAATAGCAGGGAGTATTGCCATGCCTGGGTAAGAGGGACATTTAGAAGGAGCAAGTGTGTAGCACATCCCATAGGCTGAGGTTACCTAGAGATAGTTGGAACCATAGTAGAATTGTCAAGAAATGGAGCGATGGAGAGGATGCAGACGCTGGTGGAGACTCCTCTGACAGTAGAGAAGGTGGGAGGAGTACTCTTTTGGCTTCTCCGTCCCTCCCTCCCCTCCATCTCCCACAACCAGTGTCTCCGTCTGGCTGAGCCCAGCTGGAAGCCAGTTGATAGGGGTGTCTGAGAAATACAGGCTAGTCTTCCATGTGGAGCAGATCAGGGAGCTGGCCAAGATTGGATCTTATGGCAAACAGACCTAGGCCTGACACAGCTTATCAGCAAAAACCCCAAAACATGAATTATGTACTGTATTTTTTAAAAGTCATAAAATTTAGAGAAAATTTAAATTTAGTTGAAAATTTGGGTTTCAGAGTTACTTGATTTTTTCACTATTTCTTTGCTTAGTACCTTCATATAAATATTTGCCTAAAATTAAAAAAATTCATTTACAGAGTTATGGAGTTGAAAGATTAAAATTGTACGCAGTGTTTAAGGTCACATTTCTAGCAGGTGCTGAAGTGGGACTAAAGCCAGGCTTCCTAATAACTTATCTAATGACTTTTCCCCACCCTGTGCTGAAGGATCACATAAAACCAACCTGAACACCAAGGTTCTGTGTGATTCTGATGTTTGTCAGCTTGATGATTGTCACCAAGTCTTTTAACCTCTCTGAACTTCAGGGTCCTCATAAAATGGGAATAATGATGCCTGGCAGGGAAGATGTGTAAAAAGGCAAGAAAATATGTGGAACACTCTTGCAAAATTTTCTGGGGCTGGATGAATTAAGATGTTATTTATTGTATGTATGGAAAATAGAATTACTTCGCCTTTCTTTAGAAAGGTTTAGTGTTAAAACAAGCAGTAATAGGGTGGAAAAAAATAGGTTTTTAACTTAGAAAATACAGACTAAACATTCCTATTGAGAAAAATACATGTAAAAACATTGAAATTGCTCCCTTTCATTCCCCTAAATCTAGATCAGAAAAGCAGTGCAGACTTCAAAGATATCTAAAGAACAAACACTAATAAAGCAACACAAGCAAGTGTGGTGGCAGGAACACCAAAGACTAAATGAAGTCAGGTAAGAAGTGATGGAAATCTCAGTAAGAACATGTACGAGTTTCACTTATCTAAGTAGATATTCTGTAACTTCCCTGTGAATTAAACCATGATAATCAAAATTTAAAGTTACAGTTGAATGCCAGTCAAATTAAAATCCTTTCGTTTCCTCAATTTAATCTGGAATCCAGTGAATACATTAACATGGCTTTTCCCTTCCTTAGGGAAAAGAAGAGATAATCTTCTCTATCTGTGAATCACGCACTCTTCTGCACTCCCATTCAAACTTGTATTTGTTTATATTGTGCTTAGCACATTGGATTATGGTGTTTTATCTGTATATTTGTCTTCCCTATGATGTAATAAACTTCTCAGGGGCAAGCATCCCATCATATTCATCTTTGCGTAGGATACATGGAAATAGATAAGTGCTTTCAGTAAACGAATGAACAAATGAACGAAGGGACTCAAGTTGAAGGATTTCTAGATGCAGCTGTATCATGACTAACTTGTTCAACTTGGATTTTTGACTTTTTCTGTTGTTTCCATCAGTCACTTCAAGATGAATTAAGACAGGAATAATGATTCTACACTTGATCTCAACTGTAATCTTTGAGATATAAATTTCTTTTCAAAGGTCGGGGCAGAAAGAGAAGGCAGATATGTTTCCTTGAGGCAAATATATTAGCTTTAATGATGGTGGTATTTATAGAGTACTCTTTTTGAAATGTACATTTGTAAGCTGTATTTTATATAAAATAGATAGTTTTTGGTCTCATTCCAAATTAAATTTCTAAATACCATTAACCTTACTTTTGACATTGGTGCTTTTCATATTGATAGGAGTTTCCTGTTCTGGCAAGGGACGCCTACATGTGATGTAAAAGGCCAATGATTGGAAATGGTTTTACATCATTGTATAACTTAAAGAAAAAATAAAATTTTAGACTTTGTCATTCCTGCTGCTGTTATAAAAACAAATTAGGCCCATCTTCTCCCTCAAAATGTCACCTTTTACAGAGAGAAAGTTGAAAAAAATTTTTTTGAAAATTTGTGTAACTTGAAACATGAGAAAAAGGAAAGCCATTAGGAAGTTTTAATTAACTTGCTCACTGATGCAGCTTAAATGTAAAGACACTGGGGAAAGTTTTTTTTAATCTTGCCTGTTGCACACCTCTCTTACCATGTGTATAAGCTGTTCTTGGGCTAGATAGAAGAGGCACATACATATCATTATAGAAAGTAGTTCTTTTGGCTGACCTGGAATGGCACAAAGACTATGGAAGTGAGGGACATTCAAGTAGGAAGAACCTTCATGTCTTGAAACCTGTATGGCTGAAAATTGGGCAAAAAAAGGATTCCAAGATAATTTTCTGTGTTATTCTAGAATAAGGCTAATTCCAACATGTGTTCAGTAAAGTAAAAACTATTCATGATAGGAAAGTTTGAGAAATGGCTAGATTTGTGAAGAATTTCGGGACCACCATAAAATCAGTTTAAGCTCTATCAGTATCTCTCAACCTTTAAAATCTACATTCCCTTTTAATAAAAGAAAAAAAGTAAAATATTCTTATGCATCACCATAAGAGACTTCATTTGAGAATCTCAGGTCCCAGAAGGTAAGGGCCCACAGTGACATCTGACTTTTGCTAGGCAATTTACTATATGCTGGGGAATATGATACGTACTTTACATGCTTTATTTCATTTAATCCTTACAACAACCCTACAGGGTAGGTTTCATCATTAGCGCCATTTTACACATGAGAATCTTGAGGTTCAGAGGATTAAATTTATTTGCATATGGTAAATAAGCTAGTTTATGTGGAGGTGGTATTGAATCACTTGCCTTTAACTCCTGTGCTCCTTGACCTTGGAGCCGAGCAGTTTCTTTTTTTTTTCCCACAGAGTTCCATTCACATTACCTGAGATCTACTTGGTCTAGCCTGCTAGGAAAAAAAAGATTTGTCAAACTTTAATTCTTGGAAATCTATAATAAGAAAACTAGACAATTGACATCAAAATATAAAATTACATTTTATATTTAAATTTATAGAATTTAATATTTAAATTTATAAAATTATATTTACTATTAATATACTTGCACAAACTACACCTCTTGATGACCTTGATATACTTTCCCAGGAACACGTGCTCCCTTGTTTCAAAATAATTGTTTTTGAGGTTAAGGAGGAAGTTATTTATATTGGCCATGTGGTAAAGAATTACAATTACTATTTTAATAAGAACCTTTGAATAATAAAGTATGAGTTGTCTATTTGTAAGCCTTACGACTTTTACTATAGTTTCTGTTAGAAGTATATGTGATCTCTCGCTCACAATTTTAGTTTTAAAGCATTATTTTAAAAGTATCACCTTCACAGAGAGGATATCATGGGGTTTTACCAACAACAATTAAATGTTGTCTGGAAAGGTGTCTTTAAAGATGAATTTGAGACCAGTATTCATACTGTGTGACTCAGACCACCTGAGAATTCCCTCTGAGTTCATTCCTTAGCCAACAGTTGTGAGATTTCCTTCTCTGCCCTCTGTGGTGCATAGCTTGGGATACACTCTTTCAAGAGAGAAGCGGATCCAAATTCTGGGGAGGGGGTGGATTGTAGGGAGAAGCAGATCAGATCAAATGCTGAAGCTGCGTCTGAGTTACCAAGCTGTCTGATCTGCTGAGTTCCTTCCTTGTTGGAGGGATGGTTTGGACTTAAGCCAGCTCCAGTGCCCTAATTTTCTGCAGATCTGGCTGTTAGTTCCGCTGAAGAAACTTTAACATCCTCTCTTGTTCTTCCTTTCATGATCCATGGCCCTTTGCATATTGTTTCTATAAATGGATTCTGACTCTTCCATTCTCCAGCACCCCATGTTTCACCTGTTCTTCTGAAATCGGTAACAAAGTGGTTACCCTAGAGATCGTGGGAAGCTCTGGGTAATTTTTGATTTTCTGAGGAGACTGATTCTACTACACCTAGAACTTCGGCAGCATCCTGGAAGGATGAGGACCTGTCCTGGAAATAGACTCCTGAGAGCTCAAAATGTCCTCACCAGGCTAGTTTACCTTGTAGGTGATTGCATTGCAACTGGGCATATCTAGGAAGTAGATTAATATATCATCTAGGCAAACTATCACACAAAAACTCAGGAGGGTTTTTGTAGTACTGTCATATTCAGTGGTACCAGGGGACTTAAATTGGCAGATTTTGACTTGGAAATTTGGCTTACCTGCGGCCCTTCTTCAGATGTGGAGCAGCTGTATGTGCTGCAGAGTTCCAACTTGGTGAACACCTGGAACCAAGTCTAGCGTGTCAGTGGTGAACAGGCAGAGTTCTCTTCCCCAAAGTTATCAACTTAATGCTCTTGAGTCCACCGAGTTTTTATCTATATTACCTAAATTATATCCTAAAAAAATCCGGAAATATTCTTCAAGATACTCCATGGAGAATAATGAATTTCATGGTCCTATAAATTAGGAAAATACTTTAAATTTCATCTCCTTGTTGGAGAACCTCAATGCACTTTGGCATAATCAAGTTTCTGAGAAATCTTGCTCTATGGAAACGTGTCTGATTTTGTTTAAGTCACCATTTTCCACTTTTTCCTAGTGTCTTATTGACATTTCTGTTTTGTAGAAAACAATTTGGGAAATGTTAGCCTGCATTAATAGGCTAGTCCCAGAGTCTTGTAGTACTTGCTTCTGGATTTTGTTAGGCAATTAGGACAATTAGAGAAATGGGCTGGTCTTGTCTGATGGCTCAGGTTGTTAACCTAGGAAGCCAGGATGGAACTTACTAGAATTATTACCTGCACAGTAGCAGGTTGATCTCCTATATGAACAAAACCACTTCTCCTGTTGGAGAAAATATAAGGGGGCTGAGCTAGATGGTTTGTAAGTGCTATGTTTTTGTTTAGAATAGCCCATTATGAAATAGCTTCTGGATTTACTCGACTATTATGCACCCGTTCTCCATGTAACAGTTTCAAATGTGATCCTAAAAATACTCTGACAAAAACTATATGCTAGAAAAATTGACAGTGAAGTGTCATCTACTATAGCACCCCTCCTTTATACATAAAAACAAAACCCTGTCCCATGGATGTAAATTGTCCTAGAAGATGATGGCACATATATGAAATAGAATATTCTGCAGCCACTGAAATAAATAATTATGAAAATTATTTAGAACTATCTTAGAATATTATTTTAAAAGATCCAATATAAGATGGTAAATATGCCATAATTACAACTATTTAAAATATTCACGCATGTAGACAAGGGCTAGAAACAGGCAGAAATGAAAATAATCATTGTGTTAAAGTGTGGTAATTGTTGCTATTTTCTTATTTTATACCATTTTTAACATTGTATTTTAACAATTATAAAAACTCTTTCATGACTTCATTAACTCTGCCATAAATCAGGGATAGACTACATACAATATTTTTAGATGTCCATTGAGAGTTGGTTATAGTTTTACTCAAAAATGACTGTATTTAAATGATATAAGAAAGGATTATTGAGATTTATCACTTTTTTGGTGTATACAAATATATACTTTTACTCCCATTTTCCTGGTTCAGGACCTCATTGTATCTGAACTTTATAAGTAGCCTCCTTATCGGTCCAGGTTTGCCTATCCCCTCCTCTTCATCTTCCATCTTTGTTGGTCGCCCCTCCTTCCAGCCCATCCTCTATCCTGCTGCCCTAGAAATCTTTCTGAAATGGTCAGCTTAATTAAAGCCCTCAGTGGCTTCCCAAATCTCTGAGCTCACTCCACCTGATACGATGTGATAATGTACCACACTGTTGCCTTGCACACACTATTACTTTTCCTGGAGTATTCACCCAAGCTTCTGTCTCAGTGTCCTGCATGAACCTAATCCATGTTAGGAATTTAGTATATGATCTGAATTAATGAACAGGTGAAAAAATATTTAATTGAGTGTTTCTACTGCTAGTTATTTTTTAAATCTATATATATGTTTATGATGTAGAAGAACTGATTGAGATGTCTATTTCAGATGTAAAATGGAATGTGAAATAAAATCCTTTCTCAATGAAGAGAACATTGGAAATGAATTTCTTTCTGACCTTTTGAATTTTGGTAAGTTTTTTTTTTAATCCTATATTTAAAGGCGAGTTTCATTTTGAAGCTAAAAGTAGGCCACTTGGGACGATGCCAAAATGTCAAAATAGAGAGACTCAGAGCTCACCCTCTCCCACAAATACACCAAGAATTACATCTATAAACCGAATGAACCGCACAGAACACCTACTGAACTCTGGCAGAGTGCCTCTTGCTTTGAAATACAGGAGGATTCTCACAAAATCCGCTAAGAGAAAAAAAGAAAAAATGAAAAATCAGTGTGGGATGGGTCCTGCAGGGACGGAGTGGCAAAGAAAGAAAGGCACCCTCATGCTGGGACGTCCTCTCCAGCTGGGAGATCAGTGGGGACAGAAGCAGAGCTTCTAAGGCTCAGAGGAGAAAGTGGCAGCCACTTGGCACACAGAACCGAAACTGGCACAGAAGGTCTCTGCAATCCCCAGCCCTAGACGCGAGCTGTCAGGGACAAGCCGGGACTGGCTCCTGGAGATCCGTCATGAGCCCAGGGAGAGGGCTGGGGCCCACTGCACAGAGGCAGCCTCAGGGGACTAGAGGGCGGTACGAGCTCTGGCTGGGCATGTGTGTGGAACAGAACTGCCTGGGACCCCCATAAAAAAACCTCCACTGCTGGTGTGCATGGTGGGGGGAGGGGTGCAAGCAGCCGCACCGCAGCCCCGCCACAGCCGCTTTCTCCGTTTGGTGCCATCCTTGGTGTGTTCTCGCGAGAAGAGAGGTGCGGCTCAGTCAGAGCTGTGCGGTGGTGGAGCTAAAAGCTGAATCCATACCCAGAGGCCCTGCAGCTTCATAGGCTGGACTGAGAGGGTGAATTTGCTCTCTCTGGCCCTTTGTGGACCTGTGCCCCTGGGAGGAACAGGCAGTGAGCGGAGTTCTGGTGCACAGCCGGGGTGAGTAAAGGTTTTTACAACAGGCCAGTGTACCTTGCCTTACGTAGAGGCGGGGCTGGGGTCTGTGCCGACACTGTGGCACACCGCGGACTCAGGTGTGTGACTGCACGCTCGCCACAGCTGGCCCTAGCACCCAACATTGGCAGGTATGTGCTGGTGGTTCCTGGGGCCCAGAACCTGGGGGACACCAGAGCGGGTGGCCGACATTCCCACAGCTCAGGCGGGGACAACAGCAGTGTCAGCAAAGAGTACTGTGTAAGCCCACATAACAAGTGACAGACAATACCACAGAGGGCACCTCCCAGTGGACATCTCCTGCAGAGGTATGCTTAGCGATTCTTCTCAGCTAAAGCTCTCCAACCTTGCCTACCACACGCCAAAGCTCAGAAGTGGGTCTGGAAGCCTCTATTCCAGCAACGGGGGAGCAGACCTGGCCCCTGTCAAGGCTGTGACAACCACAGAACAAAAAAGGAGGTCCCACTCCACAACAACAATTAGGGCAGGCTCTGATCACCACACCAACCACACCCTCAGTCAAAGGGATAACAGCCAACACACAGGGCCAAAGTTAAAGATAAAGAAATGATTCTAAAGGCAGTAAGAGAAAAACAAAGAGTTAGTTACAAGGGACCCCCCAGCTGATTTCTCTACACAAACACTGCTAGCCAGAAGGAAGTGGCAAGATACTTTCAGTCCTGAATTAGAAAAAGCTTTAGCCTATGGTACTCTTATCTGGCAAGACTATCCTTTAGAGTAGGAGAGGTAAAGAATTTCACAGACAAGCAAGAACTAAAAGAATCCAGCAATACTAAACCTATCCTAAAAGAAATATTGAAAGATCTACTCTAAATAGAAAAGAAGCAGGAAGCTATTAACACAAGAAAACCATAACTGGAAATGCGATAACTACAATGAGTTGCAAGAGAATAAACATGAAGATGTTTAAAAAAAAAAAAGGACATCAAAATCATAAAAGGTGGGAGATGGGAGCAAGAAAATACAGATTTTTTGGTCTCTCTCTTCTTTTTTTTTGTTTTTCCTTCATTCTTTTTAGGATGTGTTTGAGCCTACATGACTACCAGTCTAAAGCAAACAGATACAGTAAGGGGCTGATACACCTGAAAAATAGGGTAACCACAAATCAAAAACATGCAATAAAGTCACAAAAATCAAAAGAAGCCAAGCTAATACAAAGGAAAATGATCAAACCAGAAAAATACCATATGATATCACTTATGTGGAATCAAAAAAAAAAAGACAAATGAACTTATTTACAAAACAGAAACAGACTCACAGACAAAGAAAGCAAACTTAAGGTTACCGGGGGAGTAAAGGGGGGTGGGCAGGGATAAATTGGAAGTTCAAGATTTGTAGATACTAACTACTGTATATAAAATAGGTAAATAACAAGTTCATACTGTATAGCACAGGGAACTATATTCAATATCTTGTGGTAACTTATGGTGGAAAAGAGTATGAAAATGAATAAATGTATGTTCATGTATGACTGAAGCATCATGCAGTACATCAGAAATTGAAACGAATTGTAAACTGACTTTTTCAGTAAAAATATATATGAAGAGAAAAAAAGAAGTGGGCCACTCATTTCATGGTGGTTTGTGTGTGTGTGTGTTAATGAAGTTTATTCATCTTTAGAGGAGTACTGGGGATTGAACCCAGGTCCTTGTGTATGCTAAGCATGCACTCTACCATTTGACCTATACCCTCCCGCTTCATGTTTTTTTTAATTTTAGCTGCTGTTTGTCTTTTTTCTAAAGGAATCCCAAAATAAATCTGCATCCCGATGACCTGTTCTTGAAGAAGCTTAATAATGTGTTGCTTTGATTTAATTTTGTTTCACCATAGAACGAGAGTTAGCAGAACAATGGTGCATATATCTTGAAAATGTGATACATCCTATTCAGCAATTGAGAGAAGATCTAAAATACAGACTGCATCCCATTTCACAGTGTTCACACTCACAGAGTGAGTTTAACTCTTTGAAAGTACTGGAAGAGGTCAGTGTATTACCTTTACTTTGTATTTTGGGGGATAGTGGAGATAATTAGGTATTTATTTATTTATCTGGAGGTACTGGGGGTTGAACCCAGGACCTTGTGCATGCTAAGCATGCACTCTACCACTTAGCTATATCCTCACCCCCTTACCTTTACTTTTAATAATGTAATATTTTATTTTTATCCCCATTGGAACAATTTGAGATAAGAAACACATATGTCTGTTGTGCTCTAGACTGGAATTTGACACAACAGTGTAAAATAATTATAAATCAATTTAAAAATGTTAAAAAAAAAGAAAAAAAAGAAACACATATGTCTGGTGTATTGAAATAGAAGATACAGCAAATTCTGTCTACTTGGTATCTGAAACATATCCCTGAATCTGCAAGCATGCTCACTTCTCACCTGGAATGTTACAGTGACCTCATAACTTGTCTCTCTGCTTTCATTCTTGCCCCTCCATCCACCAGTGTATTTTGAGATCCAGCCTTAGAGGAGGGGGATCAGGTCATCTCCCTGGTAAATGTCTGGGCTCCTGCTCACCCACAATTCCTCCCTGTACATCCAGCCCCCTCTCTACCTCTTCAGTCTCATCCCCTAACTGACACTCTTCTTTTCCTACTCAACTTTGTCTCACTGCTGCTGGCCTTCTTCCAGTTCATCATGTAAACCCGACTCCTTCCTGTCTCAAGGCTTTTACACTGGCTGTCCCACTGATGGCTCTTTTTATCATTCAGGCCTTAGCTTAAATGTCCTCTTTTCTGAGAGGCCTTTCCTGATCAGCCACATGAAAGAAGCCACAGTCATTCGCCATTACCTCCCCCAGTTTTTACGTCACTTACCTCCTCTGGATACTTTCTTACTTTTAAAATTAGTTTATTGACTACCTCTCTCAACTAGAGCATAAGCTTCATTATCATAGTTTCACTAGGTGTAGAGTTTTAGGTGATTTTTCTTACTATATTTTTTTCAATTATTCTGTAGTGTTGTCATATTGCTTTCATGAATAATTAAAAATCCTTGCACAGCTGGGGATTAAAGGCAAGGATGCAAAGAAAGGAGGGGGTGATTGAAGTACAGGCAATCTGATAAATTCTCTGTCTGATCACAGACAAAATCCAAATGTGGGTGCAGAGTGGCTATGACTGAGCCCATTCTTGGGTTATGTGTCTGGAAGCCCCTTTAAGGCTCCTTTGATGATAACTGCCTGGTTAGGGCATCTCTTGAACCCTCTTTCATAGGTCCTCAAAGGGGCTTTCCCTTATCTAATTTGTCATCACTTATTGGCTTTTGTGAAAAATTCCTGTGACATTAAATATAAATATTGGCTAAATCAGAATAATTTGCATACTACTTGTTCTAAATGTCCTCTAGGTTGACTCCGTGAAGAAACAATTAAAAGCTGTCTTTGAAAGACTTAGTCTAGAGCAACAGAAAACAGAAAAAAATCTTTCAGAATGGAGTGTGCAAGTAAGTGTGATACAGATAGTAATTTATCAGTTTGTCATTTACAGTAAATAGAACAATCATATATATATTTTTTTTCAGATACTAGATCATTCTTCAGAAGAAGGAATTAACCTACTTAGTGAACTGCCCATGGAATTTGAAACTTTGGAGTGTCCATACTCAGATTTGAAATCTTCAATCCTTAATGAGTTCTGTAGCTTCACAGAGAAATATCAAAAGAAACTTCAAGATTTTGATCTGCAGTTAGAAGACATATACAGGTAAGATAAAGCTACTTGAATTATATAGATTTTTGCCACTACATTTTAATTTTTGTTAGGGGTCACTATACTTCTGACTTACCGTTTTTATAGGTACTATGTGATTGGAATACAATCTATCAATAAATATTTAGATTGACTATTTATTGAATGGAGAGGGTTTTTCTTCCTCTGAAGTAGTTACCCTGAAATAATGTTTTTAAGGTTTTTATAAGGTTGAAACTTGATAAAAATCCTCCTTATTTATCTCTTTACTGCACAAGTAAGAAATAGTTTTCAAACATGAATTTTTGATAACTATGAATTTTCACTTCAAGATTGATGCTCCTCTCCAGTGGGAATTCACAAATCAGTACTAATAATTGATTACAATGGAAATTGTACCCATGGAATTATGTTACTTATAATCTACTGTGATTTTGTCCTATACTGAATACAAAGTATGTTGTATAAATTCTTTCTAGAACGTGCACTTTTAAAAAATTGAAGTCTAGTTGATTTACAATATTGCATTAGTTTCAGGTGTACAGCAAAGCAGCAAAGTGATTCAGTTGTATATTATATATATATATGTATTTCAGATTATATTTTGTTACAGAGTATTATAAGATATTGAATATCATTGTTCCCTGTGCTATATAGTAAATCCTTATTGTTTATTTTATGTACAGCGGTTTGTATCTGTTAATCTCACACTCCTAATTTATCCCTCCCCCTTTCTATTTCCCCTTTTGTAACCATAAGTTTGTTTTCTATGTGTGTGAGTCTGTCTCTTTTTTGTGTATAGATTCATTTGTATTATCTTTTAGATTCCACTTATCAGTGATACTATGTAATATTTGCCTTTTTCTCCCTGACTTACTTCACTTAGTATGATATTCTCTGAGTCCATCCATGTTGCTGCAAATGGCAATAAGAAAATGTACTTTTGATTGAATCCTGAGAATAACAGTCTTATTCTGAATGAGAACTATAGTGTTAAGTGATTTAGAATTTAGTTTTGGCAGGGTCATATTCTCTAGTGTAAATTCTATGTTGAAATTTATTTAATGAACAAACCCAAAGATGCCACCCTGGGTCAGATCAACTGGCTACTTCATGTAGTCTTCTATATATGAAGTTTCTGGGGAACATTTTATAGGAAAACATGCCTTTTACTCTATTATATTGAATTTAAGGTTTTTCCTAAAGAATGTATATTTAAAAGAGAGGAAAACTATTGAAGGGACACATTTATAGTAAATTAGAAGTTAAAGGCTCTTCCTTTGAAGTCAGAGAAGATAAATGTGATGAGTATTAGTATGTCTTACATTTCTTAATGAATTGCTTGTGAATGAAGCTCCTCTATGTGAAATTACTAGCGTTAAGAAATGAATAACAAGGAAAATCTTAAATCCTACCAAGTGTAGTTCTTTTCTTTGGTAGCTTCTTGAGCTGAACTCTTCAGTGACAGCTTCTACTTGTCTCAGCACACTCGGAAAGGCAATCTCGGGTAAAGTCTGTGACTTTCCTGACCTAAGCTGCTTTCTTACTGCTCTGTGGGAATGGTCACGTGTTCCTCCTGGGCAGACACGTTTTTGGTCTCCTAAGAGCCTCCTCCCTCCCTGCCTCTCTGTCTTCCTTTCTTTCTATCTTATAATAAAGTGGAGAAAAACATTAATATATCATTTATAGTTGATTGTTGAATTAATTACACTTTAATTGAAACTCAGTCACAGTGAAATATTAACCATGCACTTAGTTTGTTTCTAACTGTAAAATAAACATCCTCTCTCCCTCCCCATCCCAACCTTGTTAAAGAAATTTTAAAATTCTTCAAGCAAGAAACAGAGGGTTTTTGTTTGTTTTGTTTTGTTTTTTTAGTAATTAGACTGATTGTGGTTGTGAGGGAAATAAATCTGACTCTGTCCTATTAAAGCAAGTTGGCTGCCCCATGACCTCTCCTCCCAGATGGTATCTTGTTCTCTAGGAAAGGTAGCTGAGACTGTGGTGTTTCTAGGCTAACAGCTCCTGAACGTGGAGGAGTTTGCCTTAGCAGCCTGTGGTGGCTCTCTTCCAGTCAGATCTATTCTTTAAAGCCAGTTATCTTGTCTTCATTTTAATCTAAACTCTGTTTCTGCTCCTCCTTTGTGCAACCCTGTGCCTCTCAGAAGTTGAGAGTCATAGCTCCATTGCCATTACTGAAGATTAAATAGTGAGTAAGAGGAATACACATCACATACTAAGATTTCTGCAGAGAGAAGAAATACTGAAGAAAAAAATAGCTTAGAAAGCCTTGATGGGAGGAAGTAAAATTCACTATGGAGTTTGAGGAATGGGTAGGATTAGAATAAGGCAGGAAGGTGGTAATGAGGACATTCTAAGAAGGGATATTAAATGACTAGGCTGTAAACCCCTTGAAGTCAAAGTAATTTATTAGCAATGTTTGTATCCTTAGCACCTAGCACATCCTGGCACATAGCAGCTTCTAAATAAATGATTGTGCAAATTGAGTTGAATTAAAGGTGAAAACAATGAAGGTGAGAGTGGTGAGGCTTGTTATGGGAGAGGTAGGAGTCTACTTCGGAGAAATATAGTTTCATAAATTCTAGTTTAATAGTCTGCTTGCCGTGTATAATTATCCAGAATAAATTTTATGTAGTTAATGATATGTTTCACTTGATGAATATTTATTGGGTAATCCTTAATATACAGTGGTCTCTGCTAAGCTCCTTGGTAGAGGGTTCAACAGACAGGCTAGACTAGAATATGACCTTGCCTTTGAGAAAGCTTCAAATATTGCGGGGAAGCAACATATACATGTGTACCCTGACCAAATGAAAATTACATGCAAACAACTGCTGAAGAGACTATTTTATAAACATGCTGGCAGGGAATGATGAAGCATCGATAAAATTGAATGAGATTTCAGAAGCAGTTTTATTGAAGAGGAAGAGAGTAAATGGGCTATTTTGAATAAATACACTGCTATTAAATAATATAACAATGCATAAATAGAATAGTAAATACACTGTTCCAATGAGCACAATGAATTGTATGTTCAATTGTAATATTAATTGGACTCTCGTTTGCCAATGTCTGCCTTGATTTTGATTTCTGTTTTTGATTCTAGTTATTTGGCCTTGTGAGAATTCACATAGGTTATGTACCTGTATGTGCATCCCTGCACAAGTGAGCAGGTGCCCACTGCTAAAACATAAGAAGGGTGAACAATCTGGGACATTTTAATTTTATTTTTTCAATTGTTTTAATGGAGATACTGAGGATTGAACCCAGGACCTCGTGCATGCTAAGCATGCACTCTACCATTGAGCTATTACCCTCCCCCTGACATTTTTAAATTATAAGAAATTTTCACTGGGCTAAAGGCAGTGGACACCATAGTTAATCCCAGTATTATTTTAATTCGCCCTATTTTGTGGCAGCTTGCCAGTTTAGGTTGGAATGACTGCATCCCCAGATTCAAAGTTAAGCCTGGTTGGGAGCATTCACCAGTCAGCAACCTCATTCCCCCAGGCTACAGCAACTAGCTTAGGGTGGTCCAGATCAGAGTAGAGCTCAGAACTTTTGTCAGATCCTTGTGAGGGGTAGTGCCTTTTCTCCCCTGTGGATCTATCAAGAACGTCCATAGCTGTGCAGATGGGCTGCTGGCATCTAACTTGTGAATGAAGGAAACAGTGCACAAGGAAAGGAAGGAGCCCAGATTATCATGGGGAAACTGAGCTGGGAACCCTGTTTGACTGCATGGGAAGCCAACCTCACTGCTAGATTTTCGAGGGCAATTAGTCCATATTAATGCCTTAAACCAGTGCGAGTATAAAATTCCTAATTTTATATAGTAGTTGATTTGATTTCAAAATATCCATGACTCACGAAATTAATCTGTCAATCTAATACAGTCACAATTGAAGAATTATTAAACGTTATTCCAAAAACCCATTAGGGTGATTAAGCTTGTAAAGTCACCCAAAGTTTCAAAATGAAGAATAATTGGGGTTAGGGGAGTGGTGAAACTTACACAGCCAAATATAAGCATATATTTTAATATTAAAATACGTTAGAAAGTTTTACATATCTCTGTAATATGCAGCAGATCAGTGGAATAAAATAGAAATACAGAAAACAGAAAATATCTGTAGGAATTTAATTTATTATAAAGGTAAAAATTTTAAACTGAGGGAAAGATTGGATTATTTATATGATAGCATTAAAAACAGGCAATTAGAAAATAAGGTCAGATCTCTTTCTTATTCCATGTGACTCAGTAAACCCCAGGCACATTAAAATGTGAAGAAGAAAAAAATCATGAAAGAATTAGACTAAAAATAAAAACAAGTATTAAGTAATCTTGAAGATGGCTTTTTAAAACATGTTACCTGCAGTGAAAATCATAAAGAAAAAATTTAAATAAATTCAGTGACATGAACATTTAAAAAAATCTAACAGGGTATTTTCTCAGGTGAGTTTTAAATCTTTAAAGAATCAATATGGACTTCCAGTCTTTGGTTCAGCATATAAGGAGCTTAGAATTTGTCACTTTGCTCTAACAAGGAGTAGAAAGTTGAACAAACTGGAAAATCAACAACTCTCCTTAACTACATCAGAGAGGTAATGTCATAGGCAAACCACTGCCCCCAAAATTGGAGACATAGGTGATACAGGAGAATCACAAATTGCCTGAGAAGAAACCCATCAGCAGAAACCTTCACGGGAACCAAGGCTGGGGTAGGGAAACCTAAACAGTAACTGACAAATTGCTGGAAGCTGCGTGCTGACAACTCTGAAAGTTAAAAGCTCTAGGGGGCCTGAGTCATGCGGGTCCCCTGACTTTTGTTTTACCTCAAGGAGTTCTACCAGGTTCTCACAGTGAATATCTGAGAAAAATCCTCTCTTGCCTCTGGCCAGGGGAGGGGAAAGTGAACTATTTTGAAATACTCCAGAGCATTATGTTCGCAACAAAGGCTGCCCTCAGGGAAACTATTTTATCAGAGCCTAAACTG